AACATATACATCTCTCCTTCACTTATTTTTTTCTTTATATAATCACTCATTTTATGTTCTATTTGAATTCTTAATGCAACTTCAGCTCCATCTACTTTTTCAACAATTCCACAGATTGTTCTCATTTCATTTTCTGCTGGTGATTCATATATATCATTTGTAGTATTTGAAACTAATTCACTTAATTTTACTGACATCCTTTGCTTATTTTTAGTTTTTCTTGTTATTCTTCTATTTCTTTTCTTTTCCCTTTTTTTTTATTTTTTTTTTATTTCTTTAAAAACCTATATTTTTTAATTTTTATTATTATTATTTATTTATATTTCTTTCTACTGTAAAGTTTAAATACCTACTTTGTTTCCTCTCTTACTTTCTTCTTTAATTATTTCTTTTAACATCGTTATTTTCTTCTTAATTAATATAAAAATAATGAAATAATACCATTTTTAAAGTAATTATTATTATTATTTTTTTTTTGTTTTATTATTATTATTATTAACACTGTTTTTTCTTTTTTAAATGTTTAAATGAGTCATTCATTCAAAAAAAAACTTTCTGTTGAAATAAATCGAATAGTTTCTTTTATTTGAAAAAGATAATATTTTTAAATATTCTTTGAACTATTGAATTATTTCAAAAGTAATAATCAATGAATTAAGTGTTAATAGAATTTTCATCTAATCTTCCTTACTGAATGAAGATTAATCTTAAACCTGAATTATAATTTAAAAAGAATAAGTTTTATGCTATGATTTATTTATTCTTTAAGTTTTCAAGAAAGAAAAACAAAGAAATAAATACAATAAAAAGACAATAAAAAGAAAATATTAAAACATCAATCAATAAACAAGAATAGAAAGAAATTAATAAAAAAAAAAATCAATTAATGAAATTTAATAGAAGTTTTAAAACGATTTAATGAATGATAATTTAAAGGAATAGGATCATCATTTTCATCACAACTTAATAAATCAGGATCAGAAATATCATAATATATCCAATTTAAAGAAAGAGGGATTTCATCAAGATTAATTCCTTGTTCATCAACTAAACATAATTCTTTTAAAGAAGATAAATATTTTAAATTAATAATTTCAATATTATTACTATATAATATATCAAGTCTAAATAAATTCAAAGGAAGATTAAAACGAATATCAATACAATTAATAATTGAAATAGTTAAAAGATTAGTAAATTGATTTAATGAAAGAATTAAATTTTTAGTGATAGTTTTATTAAGAGTAAAATAACGAAGAGATTGAGGTAAATTAATAGAAGGTGAAGGAAGTTCAGAAATAAAGAGATAATTAAGATAAATATAATTTTCTAATTTATTTAAATCATTTTGAAGAGGTTTTTCAAGAAGTAATTGAGTAAGAGGTAAATAAGAAGGAAGTTGTTTTCCATTACAATGAAGATAACTTAAAGAAGAAGGATAAAAAGATTCAATATTATAATTAATAATAACATCTTCAAAAATTAATTCTTTTAAATGAATTAAAGAAGAAAAAGAATGAGAAATAGAAGTATGACCAATTTTTAAAGAAGTTAAAGAAGTTAAAGAAGGAATAATAGAATGATAATAATTATTAGTAAATAACATTTTTAAATTAGAAGAATTAGAAGTATTAAATTGAATATGACAATCTCTTAATGATAAAGAAGTAAGAGTAGAAGGTAATGTTATTTCACCTTTTGCATTAACTAAAGTTAAATCTTTTAAATTAGGTAATATTTGATAAGGAATAGAATTAGCTTGAAGAGAAAGAATTGAATTTGGTAATAAAAAAATAGAATTATCTTCATAAGCAATTCTTTTTAAATAATTCATTTTACTTAAATCAATTGGAGTATTATTTTTACCAATAAAAAAGATATTTGTTGGTAATATTTTATCTATTAATTTAATATCAAATGCATCTATTTGATCAATTTCTAATTTACAATTTTCACATAAAGGAATAATACTATTTGGCATTGTATCATAAAGATATTCCATTGCAATATAATTTCTTTTAATAAAATATGGAAATGCATTATAAACTTTTTCCATTTCAAGGTCACATAAAAATACTAATACAATTTTATCTATTGGAAATGAAATTAATTCTTTTAAAAATGGTATATTAATATTTTCTGTTAATTTTATTCTTACAAATTCAAAATGATGTTTTGAATTTGTAAAACATTGTTCAATTGCATTTTCATCTACTTCAATTGTAATTTTTCTTAAATTTGGATATTCTGATAAATCAATTGGTTCTTGAATTGTTATATTCATTGATATAATTTTGGATTTATCTTCTTTTGTTAAACATAATGGTGTATTTAATGTTATTTTATCTATTATAATGTTTTCTATTGTTTGTGGTAATATCTTCATTAATCCTACACTAAACGTTCCTGGTGCAAATTCATATGTTTCAATATTTGGAAATAATTCAATTTCTTTTATTATTTCTTTCATTAATTTGATTTTATCTATTGAATTCGTTAGAAGTTCTTGTGTACTTTGATTTTTATTAAAATTTCTTGTAAAACATGGATTAATTTTTAAAAATTTCATTGATTCTAAACATTTTTTATTTATCATAGAAAATTTATAACATGTCTCTATTGAATCAATATATAATATTATATTCGCTAAAAACACTGATTCTAATCTAATCATCTTTTTACTTCTGTTTTTCTTTTTCTTTTTTTTTTAAGTTTTTTTTTATTTTTATTTTTTTAAGTTTTTTTAAACATAACTTCACAATTACTCTCCTTTGAATAAATAAGAATAAATAAATCTTATCTTTTTATTGTTTATTTATTTTGTATTATTTCTTTACTTAACTTTTCTTTTTTATCTTTTCTTTTTTATCTTTTCTTCTTTCTTTTATTATTATTAGTATTATTATTATTATTATTATTAGTATTAGTATTAGTATTAGTATTCTTTTTATTGTTTCAATTTTATTTCCTTCTTAATGTATTTTTATAAATTGCTTATTATTATTTGTTTATTTTCTCTTATTACACTATTCTTTTTAACTACTTTTGATTCTTGTTTTAAGCAAAAACAATACTTTTAACTATCTCTCAATTTAATGAAATTAAAAGAATAATAGAATTATTATTTATTATTAAAATAAAAAAACAAACAAGTCAATTACCATTTCATTCTGTGTAGTTTTGACTAATCATTTTCTAAAGAAAAGACAACTTCTTAATAGGATAATAACTCGAAACTTAGAAAAGTATTTTATATTTATTTTAATGTTTGTATGATGTTTTTGATTTGAAACCGTAAATTCATATTGATTCAAAAAGTAAAATGAAAATACATAAAAAAACTTGTTTTCTTATTAAAAAGAAATATTAAAAATCAAAGAATTTCATTAAAAACTTAATGACAATTCATTACTTTAAATAGTTTAATTGTTAATTAAGAAACAAAAAGTTAAGTTTATTCAACCAGTGAAAGAAAATAATAAATACTCTTACTTTATTGTATAATAACAATAAATTTCATATAATTGATATAACCAATAATTAATTATACATAAATGTATTGACTCAAATCTGTATATTTCAATAGAAATATCAAATCTTCATAATTTGTATAATATACACTAATAAACTAATTTATTAAAACTTAAACGAAATTCTTTTTAAATATTTTTCTTTTTATTCCTTCATTATTTTATGATAATTTCAATTATCAATATAACAAGAATATTTATTTTATTTTCCTTGTTTTTAATCATTTATTTATTTATTTCCTTCTTTTTTTATTTTTGTTCAATAATTTAAAAGTAAATCTTTGAATAAAGATAATAAAATTAAAATTAATAATAAAATATTAGAATCAATATGTTAATGAAAATACATGAATGATGAGGAATATAATGAATTAAGAAATAAAAGTATATTAATTAAAATAATATTTTAATTATTATTTTTTT